GGCGGGGCCAGCCGACAGTCCGAGACATGCGGTCCGGGAAGGCTGGGGGTGCCCGGGGGAGGGTCCTGAGGTCCGAGTCCTAGGCATCCTTCTTAGGCTCTTAGGGCTGCGTGCCAGCAACGTCACAGATGTGCTTTTTTCGGCTTTTCCTTCCTAGGAGACAGATACTATTGCTATTCTCACTTTACAGATCAGGAAACCGACTCAGAACTTAAGTCGCTTACTTAAAGCTTTGCAAAGAGTGAGCTTGTGAATGACAAGAGACGGGATTTGGTCCATATCTTTCTTCTCAAGTTCAAAAGCTTGCTTTAAGCTGCTCTGTTCTGGCACTACTAAGTGCCAGAGAGACAGACGTGTAGACAATTACAGAAAGTGTTGTCTTTATGAAGTTTTTTTTTCTTTTAAGAATTATCTATTTACTTATTTTTAATCTTATTAGAGAGGGACAAAGTTGGGAAGGGGAGTGAGAAAGCAAGCTGCCAGGTCAGGGACATGAACTGCGGGTGGCCATGTGGGAATCCAGGACTCTTAACCACCAGGCCACCTGTGGGCCCCTGTCTTTGAAGTCTTAAACTCCCACGAACTCACTGTGACTGCAGCCTTTTCTCTTCCAACCTTTTTGCATCCTGACACTCGCTCTTCAGCTCCCATCTTTTTACACCCTTCTTCTTGTGAAGAACTTCAACTAAAGCAGTTACAGGAATTGAAGAGGAAACTGATTTTTTTACCATATGAAATTAAAATTATATTAAAATATAACCAGTGGTTTGTAGATTCATTTAGCATAGGTTTAATGAGTTCCTACTATGAGCCTAGTATTCTAGATGCAGGAGATGCAGTAGTGAATCAGTGAAGTAAGTTACAAAGCTATAAAAATGACAAAAAAGAAAGGAGAGAAGTTCGGATAGATGTGAGGCGTCTAAGATAACTGATAGATTTTTTTTGCCTTGGATGACTGACGATGTTATTTGCTGGGAGAAGGAGTTCTCTCAGATGGGCTAGTCTGTCATTCATGATTCCCAAAACTTGTCTGACCAGTTAGACTAGGAAAGCAGCTGAGTTGTCATGATTGGGATGTGTTGATAATCTTAGCGGCCATTCATTGAGGGACTACTATGTATCAGGCTTATTACTTTTTAAATTGATCTTGTTTCTTATGTGTGTGTGTGTATAGGACATTTCATATGTATGTACAGGTGGATGTGTATACACACATGTATTTTTGTATGTATACATATATGTATGTAGATAAACATATATACACAGAGAAACACACACATGCACATACACACAAACATGGCCGGAGGGTACATGTGCTTTCAGAGACAGGAAGGATGAGAAAGCTCCCCCCAGTGACAAGTAGGGTGCCATCTCTTCTCCATTTCTCTATTCTGTCAAGATTTTGGGCATGTACACATAATGTACCTGGTGTGTTTTCAAGTTGCTGGGGCCAGAGTTTGAACAGTGTGGTCAGCCATGTGGGATCTGGCTCCATTAACCGTTAAACTTGTTTCCCAAATTTTTAAAAGTTTATTTATTGGGGCCAGCAGGTGGCATGGTTGTTGAGGTGCTGGACTCCCACATGACCAACTGCAGTTCAAGTCCTGGACCTGGTGGCTTACTTTCTTGCTTTCGCTCACTTGCTCTTTCTCTCTCACTTCCCGCCTCTCTCTGGTGAGTGCACATGCTCTATGGCAGATTTTTAAAAATTAACAATGATAAATACAATTAAATAATAATTTTTTAAAAAAGCATATTTATTTCTTGGAGGAGGGAGAAGCACGCTCGACGGCATCTTGTCACACTGTAATCTCTTTCCTCCAGGGTCACCCCAAGTCAGGATCCAAACCTGTCATCAACCATGTGACTTCCAGCACTACAAATTAGGATTTTATTGCCTGTATTAGAGAGACTAGACCAGGTTTCACAATTTGGATCTACTCAGAATGGAGATGGAGAGAAGCCTTGCAGTAGCAATCCGTTTTTTTTTTGTTTGTTTTTTTATTTTTTTTGCTATGTAGTGCATGGGCTCGATGGAGACAGACAGACAAAGTAAGAAATCATCCTCTCACCCAGGGGGGATGGCCATGCTGCAGTCCCTTCTGCACTCTCGTCTTGGGATTTTGGGTGTGCTTGAAAAACCTGGCGTGTTTTTCAAGCTGGTGGATCCAGGATTCCAACAGCATGGTTGGCCATGTGAGATCCAGCGTTTTAACCACCATGCCACCTGATGAACTGGAATCGTTATATTTAAGAAGTTCTTCAGAATGTCTGAGGTGGCACAAGGATAACGTGGGAGGGTTCTAGGTTCTGGGTTCACATCTGGAGACCTCCCTATTTGCACTGGACATGCAAGTGCCTGTGATTTGGGGCTGGCTAGAGGAAGATTGCGTATCAGGACCCTGTTGCTAAAGAAAACATGTAACATGTCATTAGCTGGGTGGTAGAAGCCAGTAGGGAGGGCCTGGTAGATGTTACAATCACCCTGGTAACTGTTTCAAGGCATAATCTGTTACATGGTAAAAGAGAAGTATCACCAAAAGGCTGTGGTCAGACATGACCCGGAAGTAAAAGGAAAGCTGGGAAAAACAGGTATTTAAGAAGAGTATCTGGGAAATATGGAGTGTCTTTAAAAATCGAGTAGTGAGTGAGACCTAGAAAAGAGAATATTATTGGAGTTTATGAAAGATAACCTGGTTGGAAGAACTTGACAGCAACTCAGGCTGGAGGAAGAAAGACAAGCTATGCGAGATGTGACTTAGTGAGCAGTAAGGAGTGTTTTGCCAACAGGCTGGTCAGGCTCATCCCCAGCCTGTTTCTTAGAGCCCTGTGACCATGCGCATACTTCTCAGCCTTTGTAGCACTCCAGTATAAAACAATGCCTACCTCAGAATACCTTGATGCATGCATGTAGTAAGAAAATTCAGGCAGTGGACTTGAATTGGTGCATGATAAAGTAAGTGCCTAGTATACATTAGTTGTCTATTATTATTATGTATTTTCCCTTTTTTTTTTCTTGTTTTTTGGAGAGGTTTTTGCTATAGGGCGCGTGCACTCACCAGACAGAGAAAGAGAGACAGAAAGCAAGAAATCACCCCCCAGGGGGGATGGCAACGCTGCAATCCCTTCTTCTCCATTCTCCTCTCGGGATCTTGGGCACACGCGCCTAGGCGCCCAGCGTGAGTTTTAAGCCCCCGGGTCCGGGACGCGAACCACGGTCGACTACGTGGGAGTCCAGCGACATAGCCATTACGCTAACTGCTGGTGCCTATATTTTCCTTTTTTAAGAAAAGGCTGTAGTGGGGCCAGCGGGTGGCAGGATAGTTAAGGTGCTAAATGCCCAGTTGACTGACCAAGTCCCAAACCTGGTGGCTTGCTTTCTCTCTGTCTCTGGTGAGCACATATGCCCTATAGCAAATTAAAATAATAATAATAATGAATACAATTAAATAAATAGATTTTTTAAGCCTGTGGTTCAGGAAAGGGATCTTCAAAAAGCTCTTGGAAAGCATGTATTATAAAAAGAAAAAAAAGGCATCAGTTAAACAGTTTTTTTGGCACCCAAAGCAACTCAATTTATTTTGCCTTTTCAGTGAATTTTTTTTTAGATTTTTGCCATAGGGTATGTGTGCTGCTTGTCAAGATAGATAGAGAGAGGGAAAGTGAGAAATCATCCCCCAGGGGGACGACCAGGCCACAGTATTCTCTATTCTCCTCTTGGGATTTTGGGCATGTATGCACACTCATGTGCCTAGCATGTTTTTCAAGTCGCAGGGTCTGAGACTTGAACTGTGCAGTTGGCCATATGTGATCTAGTGCCTTAACCACTATGCCACCTGTTAGCCCATAAATGAACTTTTTGAGTCTCCCTAATACATATTTAACCCAATATCTTTTAACCCATTTATTTGTAGCAATTAATGCAGGCTTAACCAGATTTAGATGCTCTAAGCATATTTTCATTATATATGTATATATATATATATTTTAAAGAATTATTTATTTTAATTTTTATTTATTCACTCATTTATTTTTAATTTGACCAGAGGGAAGCAGATGGTTTTTTTTCTGGGACCAGCAGTTGGCGTAATGGCTATGTCGCTGGACTCCCATGTAGTCAACCGCCATTTGAGTCCTGGACCCCATGGCTTTAACTCATGCTGGGCGCATGTGTGTGCCTGCCCAAGATCCCAAGAGAAAATGGAGGAGAAGGGATTGCAGCGTGGCCATCCCCCCTGAGGGGTCATTTCTTTCTTTCTTTCTCTCTGTCTCTCTCTGTCTTTCTGGTGAACGCACACACCCTATAGCAAAAACCTCTCAAAAAAAAAAAGTATATATATTGATAGGCCTCACAAAGGAGCTTGGGAGCTATAATGGCCACTTGAATTAAAGTTGATAGCATAAAGTAGACCAATTTTAATTGTGAACTATAAATTTTTAAAAAATATTTATTATTAGTAGTATTTTTTAGATTTAACCAGAGAGGGGGAAACTGAGAAAGCAAGCTGCCCGGTCCAAGATTCAAACTGTGGTTGGCCACATGTAAGTCCAGTGTCTTAACCACCACACTACCTACTGGCCCTGTGAACTATAAAATTTTTATTGTACATGTAAATATTGAAAAATGTTATAACCACGTTAAAATTATTTGATTAGACACTTAACATATTCTAAAGGCTATCCAGGTTAGTCTATACAGGTAAACACTGCCTGTGCTTCAAAAAAGGCCACATTTAGGAACCAGCAGTTGGTGTAGTGGTTATGGTGCTGGACTCCCTTGTGACTGACCACACTTCAAGTTCCGGACTGGTGACTTGACACTTATGCTGGGCTCATGAGAATGTGTGCCCAGTATTCCAGGAGGAGAGTAGAAGAGAAAGGCTGGTGGTATGGTCATCTCTCCCTTGGGGAGTGATTTCTTGCTTTTGGTTTCCCTATCTGTCTCTCCGGTGTGCACACACACCCTATGACAAAACAAATCTCTCCCCCCCAAAAAAGCCATGTTTATTTATCTAGTGTTCTTTTGTGCAAATTGGAATTTTCTAATATGGCATACTCATATAATTTATCATATGATAACTAATACTACATGAATGCATTTAGTATAATATTTCTCATAATTATTTTAATATTATAGTAAAAAAACATTATTAAGCAGAACATTTCCTCCCCATCCCTCAATAGCTGTTTTACAACACAAGGCACGTCACTGGCCATAAGGAAGAGAAGGCTCAGGCTGAGCTTGTTTACCTTTCTTTTTTTGCCTGCAGGTAGCGGACAGCAGTCAGTGACTGGTGTAACCTCTGTGGATGACAGCAACAGTTACTGGAGGATACGGGGGAAGACTGCCACTGTGTGTGAGAGAGGAACCCCTATCAAATGTGGCCAGCCCATCCGGCTGACACATGTCAACACTGGCCGAAACCTCCATAGTCACCACTTCACTTCACCTCTTTCTGGAAACCAGGTGAGGTGGCATCCAAAGATCATTATGCATTATTCAGTTTGGCTTTTGTTTGATCTCTTGGTTCTTTCTTTTTTAAGAACTATTTATTTTATTTATTATCTTCTTTGACTAGGAAGAGAGAAAGCATGCTAAATCTGGGACTTGAAACTTGGTCGGCCATGTGGGAGTCCAGAACCTCATTCATCATGCCACTTGCTGGCCCATTCTCTTAGCTTAACCCTTTCTTTTCCAGATATAGATGCTCTTTTTTGTGCAGACCTGGAGAAATGGCTCTGTGTCTTAAGCATGAAGAAAATTGAGGTCAAAGTGGAGACTTCTTATATAGACCAAATCAAGAAATGGGAGGAGGGGGACCAGCAGTTAAGATATTGGCTATGTCTCTGAACTCCCATGTAGTCGACCGTGATTTGACTCCCAGACCCAGTGGCTTAAACTCAAGCCGGGCGCGTGTGCGTGCGTGCCAAAGATCCCGAGAGGAGAATGGAGGAGAAAGGATTGCAGCGTGGCCATCTCCCCTGGGGGGTGATTTCTCAATTTCTATCTCTCCGTCTTTCTGGTGAGCGCACGCACCCTATAGCAAAAACCTCTCAAAAAAACCAAAAAACCAAAAAAACAAAACCATATATCTAAACCATGGTTTATATCTGGAAGAAATTATAGGGTCAGACATTCGATATCTTGATAATCAGCTAAGAAAAAAGTTACGAAAAGGTGTTTTGTATGTGTTAACTCACTTGACTACCAAATGAAAGCTTCCAGAAAGATATTATCTTACTCTTTTTTTAAAAAAAAATTATTGTAATAAGAATACAACTTAAGCTCTATCTTTCTTTCTTTC